AAAATATATAAGTGAATGAGTAATATACGACGTTCTGGACGAAGCATGAAGAAGAACAGCTCGTCAAAACACATTCCTAATTTTTTTGTGAGCGAAATCGCCAAAACGCAACAAATTGCGTGCACATCATGGAAAACGTGTTTTGTTTCACGGGAAGCATGCAGAATAGGGCTATAAAAGACAGACTTTTAAAAGCCACATCACTTGTTGCTGCAGACGTAAAGGGTACTGACCCAAGAAATGCCAAGATTAACAGCAGAGGAACGTGAACGTGCCTTGGGCATGCTTCAAGTTGGTACGTCAAGTAGAGTCGTTGCACAGCGGTTTCAATGCCATCATTCAACAGTCCTCAGGCTACTGAGCAGATACCAGCAGACAAGAACCACCAGAGATCGACCACGTCCGGGTCAACGTCGTGTAACTACACCACGTCAGGATCGCCATATTGTTCGTCGGCATCTTCGTGATCGTACACTTCCTGCTACCAGGACTGCAGCAACCGTACAAGGCCAACGGAATTGATCAGTGCTGACACCGTACGTCGACGTCTCCGCTCAGCAGGACTACGTGCTCGACGTCCATATGTTGGACCCATACTCACTGATCGACATCGATATGAACGTCTGCGTTGGGCCAAAAGGCTTCGTCATTGGAGATTGCGGCAGTGGCATGGTGTGCTGTTCTCTGATGAGTCCTGTTTTCATTTACGGAATGCTGACGGTCGACTGCGAGTGTGGCGTCGACCAGGAGAACGTTACCACAATGACTACGTTGTACAGCCAGATCGATGGGGGGGGGGGGGGGGGGGGGGGGCATCAGTCATAACCATCGAACAGAGCTCCATGTTTGTCGTGGAAGAGTTAATGCCCTTTACTACAGGAATAACATATTGGCAAATGACGTCATCCCATTCTTTCATCAGCACCAGGGTATGCACACCTTCCAGCAAGATAATGCATGAGCGCAGACAGCACGTGTTTCAACACAGTACCTAGCGAACAATAATGTGCCTCTGCTTCCATGGCCAACCTTGCCACCCGATCTATCGCCAATTGAACATCTATGGGATTACCTGGGTCAACGCCTCTCACGTCGTCCGCAAGTACAGAACCTGAGAGAACTTGAAGATACACTACGTCAAGAGTGGAATGCCCCAGAACACTATTCGCAGACTTCTTCGATCAATGAGAAGACGTTGCATGGCCTGTGTTGCATGGCGGACATACCAGATATTGACTTTTCATTTTAACCCTATGTGTCTTCCTTACACTGATGACGTAATTGTAATTACTGAGTGGTATTCCTGTTTCCTTTGTCGTCTTTCTTAATAATCCGTCTAAGTCTGTTCTAATCAAAATCAGTCACTGCTCAAGTTGTTTTTGTAATATTTCAAGATTAATTGCTGGTGCCTTTTCAATGCTGTTCAGTATATTTTAAGTGTCATTTTGTCAGTTTTAGTAAGTTTATATTTTATCTGTTTTCAAATAAATTGCCTATGTTTATTTCATACTTCGTTTGTGTCTTTCTCTATTATATGGTAGTCCATCTTATAATGATGGAATCTTTGGACAAGACGAGTAGAAACACTGTGCACATAGTAAGCGACATGCCAGCCCCTAATATCCCTCTATTGATCAATGAAGTACTTATAATTACAACTGTTCAATCCATTGTATTCTCGAGTGACGGTTGGGTCACAACCGTCACTAGCAATATACAATTAACACATTCGTTTGAATAGAAAACGAATTTAGCTTTAGCACCTTGCTAATTGTTTGGCATAAAGACAACGCCGTTTTGACAGTGGTAAACGTCAATCACGCCTGGTACATTTTATTCAAGAATAACTATATCACGGGGTTTTTTTGAGTGATAAACATCCATTTTATGTCAGGATAGTTTTGGGATTGTATTTCGGAATCAGATATGTTTTTCAGCTTAATTATTTTTTTCAAGTATTTTCGGGGATAATTTTTTCGATAATTTGTTTCCGATAAAATCCCATTTACCAGCACTAATTACACCACATTGTATTATTTGACACAGCTGATAGGGTTCCAGCCTTTTCTTCCAGGTCTGTATGTTCGTAACTCTTTGTGTGAACATTGTTCTACGTCGCTTTACTGAAACGGATTAAATTAAAATGTTTTTATTTCTCCTGACTTCGTTTGATATTGTTACATTGTATTGCTTGAGGGCCACAGTTATCGGTCAACTTCCTCCACCAATAAGTGTGTTGATATTTCAGATACAGCATACATGTATGTTATATCTAAGATATCAGAGTCTGTTGTCGAGTATGACATTTATGACCACGAAAACATCAAAGGAAATTAAGTCGGCTATTATATAATGAGGTGAATAATTAATGGCTACTATCTGTATATTTTGAAAATATATAAAACTTGAATAGGTAAAATGTAAGTTATCCAAAAAATTGACGGAACGACATTTTAAACAAACTTTGATATATATGTTTAGGATTGAGATATAGCGTGCTTCCCCGTTTCCAAATTCAAATCTGAAGTCAAATACTGTTATTGTTGTTCATAAACATATATATATTGTTAACCGAAATATATTGATTAAGACTGCATGAGTCATCTGTTATAGGGTACCCATAAGGGTACTTGATGCTTGCCCCAAAAGCATCACCATCCCAGTGACACACTGCCACTCGCGGACAAACGCCAACAGGATAGAAATCAATGAGAAATATGTATCTCACTGGACACGAAAACGTTAAAATCATTGGAAACATTCTGTTATCTACATACATGTATATACTTTATTCTTGTTGTAAGTTAGGATTTGGGATATGGATTATCATATAATCTCAGAGACACATATAGCTAGGTAATGTATTGCAAGAATAATGATAATACAGTAAACTACGTTTGTAACGAACACGCTTATAACGAACTGACCGATATAACGAACTTATTAAATAGTGCCGACCATTTGGTGTATATATGCTGTAATTATGCTTATAACGAACTACGGTTATTACGAACTAAAATTAGTGGTCCCCTCGAGTTCGTTATAGCATTAGTTTAATGTAGTTCATTTTCGACGTCTGTCGCACGACACATGATCCTACCGCCATAAAGCGCATCGCTGGGAGGATCTGAAGTTTGAATGACTCGTCCGACAAACATAAAGGCGTGGATTATTCATATCTTGTTCAGAGCAATGTAATCCGATCATTGCGTCACATCTATTGTGTCATTATGAACGTCATGACGTCATAATAGTTGCACGGCTGAGAACTAAACCTGGCAAGTTTCACTCAATTGGTTTCGTAATATACTGCTTACGATGCATCTATGCGGCGACACGCCCCCAGGTCCTATGTTACATACGAGTAAGGAAATACTCAATGTTTGATTATAATCAGCAACAGATTGTGTTTAAATTCCATTATCCGTAATGTCCTGAAATCAAGTCGGCAAGCTACAATAAATAATAAATAATAACTCAAAACACTACCTCGTTTACATGCCCGGCTCATCCAAAACGCTACATATCCTATTTCATCTGTAGTGGAGAATTCGATTTAGGGATTTACACCTACAGCACCTACTTGCTTTATAGAACAGTCAGTTCTACGGACACGCTCCTGCCGATGTAATAAACAAGACTGGGTTTCGAGAAACGTTTGCAATAAGATTCTTGGGACTATAACGAAAACAGATCAGAAATATCATATAAACCAATTTTAAGGACATAAATACATGACAATATTTTATGGACAAGAACACAGTGTTAATAAACCAGTTAACCATTTTCCAAGAAAACTTTTGCAAGGAGTTTGATAATGGAGTGAGTGACTTTTGTATAACGCCGCTTTGTTTATAAAATGCACCATGTCTACTTAAGTAGTTCTTCACTGAAAGAAAATATATTACCTAACGGTCTACATTACTTAATTGTTGTCTTTCTTTTTCGCAATAAAATGCCTGAAATTACTTACATTATTTGTCATTTCCGTAACACGTGATTGCCAATGTTTGATGAAGCAGACTTTACTCTCCGTGGTTTCCCTTGCAAACATTCTGACCATAGATTATGGTGCATTATCTATCAAAGTGTTTGTTCATGGAATTAGCATAGTGTACTCCTTTAAACGTTATTCATTGCTATTGTTATCTGTTATCTGTTATCAGTCCTGGTAGATTTAACTATTTTCACTGGCGTATTGCTGACATCAAACAAATAAAGAAACACACCAAATGTTAGGCCAGTGCAGCGTCAGCAATTAACTTTGTTATCATCAAAGAGTTAGCGCCGAATATTTTAATAGAAGAAGAGAGAGAAGTTAAACATATTGTGTAAATGTATTTGTCTCTGGAATCTGGAATAAAACCACAATGTGCATTCCTAAGAGTTAAAGCGGAAGCAATTACCGCCCAATTGCATTTACCTGTTTCCATAAAATGAAACTGGTACCAATGCCCTTCATACCCGCCCCACATGCAGTCCGATGGCGTTGGGGATTGGCATCACATTAGGTCGTTTTGTTGACGCTCCAAGAGTTCAAATACCGAGTTGAATATTCTCAGTTACTATTACGGTTTCGTAAGAAGGCTATTTTTAGGACTTTTCGGACGAATATGCCTCGCATTTCATGCAGTTCATTTTCTTCGAAATATACATACTTTAATCAACGAAACTTCAAACATTATGGATATTCCTGTTATCTGATTGACAACGTTCATTTGGTGTTCTGTATGCATCAGCAGTACTTCTATCATGGCTGTTATCCTCTTGAACGTGGCTTTGTGATGAAGACCAAAACACAGGCGTTCTTTAATCACATGTCACTAAATCTGGCCATGAAATATCCGGATTTCGATCACCTTTTATCGATCATGTTCACTTCATCAGCCGTTGTTAGGGAACACTCAATGTCACGCACAGCGCCAATTTTAGAAGTTAGTACAGCATCGTCATAATACCACCCTCTGCATGTGACTTTGAGGCGTGTTGAGTGGGAGTAATATGAATGTTCACATGATGTCGAGCATAGTCGTATGGCTGTCCTCATCCTAGACGTGTCTTACAATTGATGCAGCTGGGGAGATTGCTGGGATACTCTTTGCTAGTTACAACTATTCTGCAGCGTGAGGTAGGTGTTAGTTAAGCATATGTGTAACTTTGTCAGCGAGGAAGCCAATATCAAACATCGGATCAAATGAAAAATTCATTGAACATGAGTATCGTCTACTGACTTGAGCATTGGAAGCCGTGCCGAAAATAAGTATTAATTATTTTCCCACGGCGACTTCGAAGACATTTCCTGGAATTTCCATAGATAAAAACTTAACTCAGTCTACTATTCTAAGTACTGAATGTACTAGTGGGCGTATTACAGTGGTATTTGGTATTTGGTAAACTACTGCCTATAAGTTAATTCTCCTCACATCCATGTTTTGTTTTGAGCTAAAGTCGGAGGTAAGGCAGAAATGTGCGCAATTGCTGTTTCACTGACGCTTGGTGGTGTATTTGCTTATACCTCCCCATTAGATGATATATTGAACAAACTATGCGTGTTACATTTATCAATCACACTGACTTTATTTCAAACAATTATGCTGATGGGTATGTACCTCGGGGTAGATATATCGAACTGTACCCAGAGTCTCATGTTCATTCTTCCCTGCCCTTAAGGCGGGGAAGTATACGGGAAACGTTAATTTTGTGGCATGTATGTCGACATGTTGGTTTATTTGAAATTTCAAGCCACGCATTTACGGAAACAAAACATACAAATCATGTGCGTCGAATGTTGATGCTATTCTTTTCCAGCAATAAGAGATACTTCAAAATCGTCTCTATGTAGTTAATTGATGCATCTGACCGTTTCTGGCCATTAGCTGACATTATTAAACCATTCATGTGTAATCCGATGTCCTTTTTTCCTCAAGGACTAATTTTCACGATGTATACAAAAGAAGAACTGTATTCCGGAGATCGTAAATAACAGCATAATAAAAATTATGTTCTGAATATGCTTATTCATGAACAACGACGACATCTCAATTTAAATGTAATTCTACATTCTACATACAACACTTTTGATTGTTTGGATGCTCATGTTCACTAGAAATATTTGGAATAGTTATATTCCGTATTTTGAATTAACCCCGGCCCCCGTGTTTTTTTTTTAAATCAGTGCACCGCACATAGCCACGTGTGAAATGTTTGGTAGCAAAGTCAAAGCAAAATCCGAGTAGTGTGTCGGTGAATTTGCATCAAGGCTGTAGTATTTTTCAACCATTTGATGGAATTCAATGTACAGCCGTAGCTCTGGTCACTCATATATTTTGTGTCCCATGGCTCAAATGCATTTGCGTTTGTACCGTGTTCTACTGACCTCGATAATCTGTTGGATGAAGGCACAGCTCTCTACAGTCATATAGTTAACACCGAAGGCTATGAGGGGTATTTATAGGTCATAATCAGCTCCCAGCAGCCACTGCCTCAAGCGATATTGTCTACATAACAGATCAGTTTTATGGCTCCGTCACAGGTGCTCCAAATATTGAAGCAGGGAAAACAAATTTCATAGAATCATTTCAACAAGCAATATTGATAACCCCGTCACTTTTGGTAACTTTTAATGTTGTCTCCATTGCAATTTTTACGGATTTTGATTCGTATGCATTATTTGACTCTCATCAGCGGAATGGTTTGGGTCAGATTGATCCGAATGGACAAGCGGTTTTACTTCTGTTTAGTAGTATGGATGAATTGTTATGTTACATCTTAACAGTATATCAGGCGACTATGCTTGTCGTAAGAGGCGACAAACGGGATCGGATGGTCAGGCTTTGGTTGATGCATGGCATCGATCGCAATTGCGTGGATCGATGCTCATGATATAAGGCACTGGATTGTCTGGTCCAGACTCGATTATTTACAGAACGCCGTCATATAGATGGGATATTGCTGAGTGTTGCGTCAATCAATCATCTTCATATGAACTGGAACCAGTCATTGTTACAAGTAAACCACATTCCACAAGAGTTACTGACACTGGATAAAAAACAGTACATTGAAAAAAACCAAGTAACTCATCATGATCAGAATTACTATTCTTTGAAAGAAAGAAATAGAAAAAAGAAACTGACCAAAAAACGTAAAACAGGAGACGAGGAATTTCCGTTATTGATTAGTCCCGGTATTGAAATGTTCTCCAACTACGTGATAATATTTTGAGTATGTGTATCTGTGGTTGTGACAAACAGACCTTATCTAGTATGACTTTTTTGCCATATGGAGCCCTTAGTATTTTCATTTACATTATTATAACCAAATGCCAAGTGTAAAAAGAATGTGATCTATTATTTGAGTATGTGCATCTGCCAATGTTGTTGGCAGTTTTGATACTATTTCCACATGTTTACATTTGTGCCAGAAATTGCTTCCATTTCCTTCGATCTACTTTTTCAATAAAGACCCAGGTTAAAATAGGTCTTCAGCAACCTATGCTTGCCGTAAGAGGCGACGAACAGGATTGGGTAGTCAGGCTCGCCGATTTGGTCGATGCATAACATCATATTCCAATTGCGTAGTTCGATGCTCTTGGTGTCAATCACTGGATGATCTGGTCCAGACTGGATTATTTACAGACCGCCGTGATATGGCTGGAATACTGCTGAATACTGCGGCGTTAAACAAGAAACTATTTCTAAATAGACCTACCCTATGCAAATGTATCAACTGTATTGCCCAATACTCAAAATAAACTATTTTTTTCCACAACAGCGTTGTGTTATTTGTGGTTAATATAATTATGCTCCATCATGCCTTTCAGTAACATCATAATTATGCGTTTGTGAGGCATCACATATGGCGGGGAACTTTGATGCTCTGCATCAATGTTTTCTTGTATCCTTTTGTATCCAGGTTCTCTCGTTTGGTTCACAGGGCTTGCTAGCCGCTAGTTTTGCGACCGTTCCTGAATGGGCTCAACAGCAATCAATAGGCATATGAACAGCAATTGCTGAACATATTGATATTATTGATAAGGTCTTTAGATTTCAAAATACAATTAAATATTGTATGTTAAGAGTCAATATAATTGATAATAGTTAAGGTTATGGATCTTACCCATCTTAACCCCTGTTGTACTGTTGTGTGGATATGACGTAACATTTATTACATTCATCACATCACGTCCACACTTTGTTCAAAATTTTAAAACAATTCTTACATTGGAACTTCCGATCTCATTGATATACAATAAAAGTGTTTTGTTTAATACATTGGTAAAAGATAAATTGATCACAATGTCACGTTCAATACAGAGTTTTTGGATTCGAATACTGAACAGAGACAGTTCATGTTCATGGGATAAATTGGCCAGAACACTTATTTCTGAGCATGTGCTAAGTTTTACTGTTGGGTGATGACGAGCCCCACATCACCTAATTCTCAAAGAGCCTAGGTCGCACAGTCGTCTAAGGCGCAGCAATTCGCTGTGCTGAGTTACGTCCATTGGGCACGCCAGAAATCTATGATCGCTGATTCGAATTCTGGGTCGACCAAATTGTGTTTCTAGGTTTGCCAGCACCATTCCCATGCTCATGAGGTCCCTCAAAGTGGTAAACGTCTGAGACCTGTATCACTTCGGGCCTTTCCTCATTTATACTGCAATGTATTGTATTGTACAAATACATAACAAAGAGACTTAACAATTCAGAAGTGGGCTTTTCTTTACCCAGATCACCCAGTCAAAGCCAGAAACGAGAAGGAAAAAGTGATTAATTGTCTATTCATATATGATCGAAAAGAACATATAGATTTTGGCTGAAGAAATATAGACTTGCAAAACAATTATAGATTTGCATCGTGATCTTAAATGCTAAGCAAATCCAGTCACCTACACACAGTGACTCGACACTTGTTTGCACCAATCGGATACGTCTTTACGGTCATTACTACTCTCCCCCCCCCCAAAGAAAAATAGAAACACAAAAGATCGAGAAAGTATATTTCCCAACCTGTAAAAATATTTTTATATAGACATGTTTTAACTTCCAAGTAATCAGTGTGTTTCGTGTACAAAAACTATTATATTTGATGGTGGTACAGTTTGTGTCGCCATTATGCATCTTCTGTGGGTTTTTTTACGAATATCAAATACATATTTCGAAATATGGACGATTAAAAGAGTCCAGCATTGAACCATGTGCAATCGGATTCACATATTTCAAACCCTTGAACTTTGTACACTTTATCACTTTTCACAAACGGTTACGTTTATTAGTTGTCACGAACACTGATTACAATCTCACGAGTATAGTTACGTTAATACAAAAGGCCGGAGATAGAATGATTTGTTAATGACAGCTGTTCTTATTTCAGTTGATTTAATTCAACATAAGAAATTAATAATTCACTTATCATGGTATAGCAGAAATCTGTTTACATCAATATCTGATTGGTTGGTTGGTTTGTTTGTTGTTTAACGCCGCACTCAGCAATATTCCAGCTATATGGCGGAGGTCTGTAAATAATCGGGTCTGGACCAGACAATCCAGTGATTGACATCATGAGCATCGATCCACGCAATTGGGATCGATGACATGCATCAACCAAGTCAGCGAGCCTGACCACCCGATCCCGTTAGTCGCCTTTTACGACAAGCATAGTCACCTTTTACGGCAAGCATGGGTTGCTGAAGACCTATCCTACCCCGGAATCTTCACGGGCCCACATCAATATCTGATGCTATGTCTACTGTAGATAATGATAATGATTTCGAAAAGTAGAAATACATACCGTGTCACACTGAGGGGCAAAAGAAACTATACCGCTTAGTTGATTTTATCATAGGTTTGGTTATAAATTGATAATGTCTTCAGTTAGCGAGTTATGTCCAACAAATGAAATGTATTGGCGCCAAGTCAGCACTCACAGGAAACTTCTATATGGTTATAGTTTTAGGAAATATAATTTGATAAATAAAAATAAAAACATTAATATCATTAAAATTAGTATAAATTAAACAACATTTTTTCGCATAATTTTTTCAACTGCTGCTGATGTGTATCTTTGACATCTTATCGTTGCAAGTTAATAGATTTGTTTTTTTTCGACACAGATTACAAACATGTTCAT